CCCTCCACTCTGCACACTTTTAAACTAATAAAGTTTTTCATAAGCTTTCATAATAATTTACTTATGCACAAAATAAAAAAAAAATGGTCTTTGAAATGATGAATATTTCTGCTGAACTAAGACGTAAAATATAGAGAACTATTGTTTAGAATGAACTTTCATGAAACCATTTTTCCTTTATTCTCTTAAGAAGACCTGATTGTGTATTTCTAATTTCATCTATTATTTCATTTTTTTTTTCAAGTTTTTCCCCGTTGTATAGACTTTAAAGCAAGATAAAAATAAATTTAGAAAAGGAAAACATTGAAGCAACTTTGTAGACCACTCATTTCAAGGCTGCATAATTTAGATGCTGCTGGTAAGCAGATGTTACCACTAGCATCATCTTATAGATCAACCAGTTTGATAAATGTGATTATTCAGGTGGCGTCCTGATTTTCAGACCTTTTAATCTGAAACAATCACATTCCTAGAAAGTAGCTCATGCATGGTGCATGATGTTACTGAGAAATCATTCTCTGTTTCAGGTATGTTCACAACGACTGTGACAGCGCAGTGGACTTTGGAGCCTTTACTCCTCAGCAGCAGGCAGAGTATGTGTGCTCTGTTTGCAAAGACAGACCTCCAGACGATGTGCCGGTAAATACTGACATTTTAAACTTTTTCAATATAAGAGTAAATCATAACTATTTTACATAAGCTGGATTTTTTTTCTTCCAGCTTGTCTCAGATAGTTGTGTATTCAAATTCCAAGCTAATCAATGAACTTTTTTCTCAAGATTAGTCTGATTTTATGTTGAGATTACAATATCCAGTTATGAAGGTTTTGTATAAAGTTAACTTGTGTTATTTAATTAAAAAAACAAAAAATGAATTGTTGACAAAGAAAAACATATTCAAACATGTTAGACGCTACTAGTCTGTCTGTATTTTTGACATGATGTAGCTGGTAGGCGTAAATGTCAACATAGGTCTGTATTAGAAATGTGACTGATTGCAGAGAATAAGAACATATGAAGAACTAAATATCCTCATTTTCCAAGCCTGTCCAGAAATGCAAAAATAAGTGCGGGTTGTGATAAAGATGATAAATTCTTCCACTTTTATCCTTAGATTTGGATATGAAACATGTATCTTATGGTGGTCATTGGAATTGCTTGTAACATTGAATTTAATTGACCTATTTTTCCAGATGGAGACCAACCTGACTGAGAGTCTGAACAGTATGATTGAGGAGACAGACCTGGTGGACATGCAGGACTTCAGTATATTTCAACGTAAGTTTATTTCCACCTCAATTAAGAGGCATATTGTGGGTATTAGACATTTTTAAAATGTACGTACAAAATTTATTTTCCTAAAAAATTTGCAATTTTTCCTTTATCAACAAGGTAGGCCCAGCCCAGAAATGTTGAGGAAATTATTATTATTAAGTATTATTATTGTTATCAATTCCAGAGACAGAGGGGTCAGTCAACGAGGAGAGCCTGCAGGAGGCAGACCTGCAGAGTTCCCAGGAGTCCTTGCTGCTGGACGATAACTCCATGTCCAGTATGGACATTGATCTCAACGTGCTGGAAAAGGTAATTGTAGTGATTTTGCTGGGTATAATATCCAGAGAGTTTTACACCTGTGCCACTGCTGTTGACACTTTTTTGGTGGTTAACCTACTCACTACTAAAATAGATAAATAAAATGAATAATAATTACGATAAAAGAATTACATTAAATGATATTGATACATAAATGATTTGGTGAATTAATGAATAGATAAATAAATATATCAAGTAAATAAAATAATTATAGATAAGTGAATAAATAGGTATATGGAAAATGAAAACAGAAATAATGCGAAATTACTAAATTTTTCAAGCAATATAGTCTCAGTTCTTGTATCTTCTGGTCTTGTAGGGGGCAGCACAGTTAGCACAGTTAACCAATCAGCAGTCCCCTCATCTGTCCGCCATGTTGAAAAGTGGCTCTGGGGCGGTGGCGGCAGCTTCCAAGATAGCAGGGCCCGGCAAGGGGAAGCCGTCTTCTGTAGGGAAGAAGAAGGTTCCCAGCACAACCACTGGGAGAGCTAGGGTATAAAGATATTCATTTTGTTTCATGTTATGTTATCTTGTCATTGAGAATATATACACCACTTGTGCCAGTGGAATATTATCCAGAAATGCCCAAGTTCTATCTGTTTTTGTAAAGCATCCAAACTTTATATTATAAAAGCTGTAGAACGTAGCTGTAAATGAATTTGTCTGTTTTTATTCCTTTGTTCTCAATGAACCTTTTGAAATATAGATTGACAATTATCTCATCTAGAAGAAACAGAATAATGTATGACTTTCTGTTTTGGAAAACGCCTCCAACATAAAATATTCACTTGATTTCTGTTACATAGGGCTTGGCCCCATATAAATTCTCACTTATGTTAATGTTTTGAAATGCTCATGAAACTTGAGTCTTAAAATTATTAATCTTTTGTTTCAGAGCACTGGTAAAAAGGCCCAGAAGCGCCCCACTGGCACAGGGGAGAAGAAACGTCCAGCGGTGAAGTTAAAAAACAAAGGTGGTGGCGGAGGTGGTGCCAGCAGTGGCGCCAGTGGAGGACAAGCAGCAGCTAGCACCACTCAGGTATGGGACAGTTTTCAAAAAGAGTAAAGTTTAGCTTTTGAAAATTGTTTATCTTAAAAAATCTTTAAATTTGGATGTGTAGCTTAGCAGTATGTGCTTTCATTTGTTATGTACAGACACAGATGTGTCTGTACATATTGCCATCACCTGCGTCTGTCGTCGCCGTCGCCGTGCACTTTCAGCGTTAACACCATAAGTGGAAGACAGTTTTACTTTTTGGCTTTATATTTACAGAGCTGACTAATATTCATAAAATGCAGGTCAAGTTCGAAAATCAGCATGATCGGGCCATTATTGTAGAATTTATCCTGTTTTTTCACTTTTTAGCATATATGCAACACTGTTAACACATTTCAAGGAAAACCGATAGACCTGTTGTCATGAAACTCACAGGAGTTATCAATCTTACTAAAATGCAGATCAAGTTCGAAAATCGGCATGATCGGGCCACTATTTTAGTAGTTATGCTGTTTTTTCACTTTTCAGCATATGTGCAACACTGTTAACACATTTCAAGGAAAACCGATAGACCTGTTGTCATGAAACTCACAGGAGTAATCAATCTTACTAAAACGCAGGTCAAGTTCGAAAATCAGCATAATCGGGCCATTATTTTATAAGTTATGCTGTTTTTTCACATTTCCTCAGATTCAATTCTTAGGCATGTTAACAGTCTCATTATTTAACTAATAAGATTCGTAAAAGTGTTTGTTTGACATTTCCTGCATCTTTACAACATTGTTAGTTGATTATGTAAAAATGATGGTAAACTTGTTATCATGTATTGTATAATAGAGTTTCAAAAATGGAAATAAACTCATATCATTGCAGTTTGTCAGATTCATTCATTCACTATGTTCAGAAACTCAGAATGGAGGAAATTGGACATTAAACACTGTTCTATTGATATTTTTCCCATCTCATCAATTTTCTTAGTTGATCATATATAAATGGCAGTAAATTGTTAATTTTGTTATATGTTAAAAAATTGTTAAAAATGGAAAAAAAAACATTTCAGGACAGTGCTGTCTTGTCTACATTTTGGCATTTTCAAGGTGTGACTTTGAAGTTCCTTTGGCCTGAAGACCTTTGCTAGGAACATTTTCTGAATATCCATGATACTAATATTTTATTATTAAAAATTGATGGTAATTATCCTGTTAAACATTATGTAATAGTGCATCAAAATTTGAAGACACCCCTATTTTGGACACTGCTCCCATGATGACCATTTAAGGAAAACCATGTCACTTACTGTTCTCAAACTTACAGGAAGAAACATGGGACTTAAATAAAGCTTCAGTGGGCAATGCAGACTATTTGGTAAATTTTTTTGGCAGTTAATCAGTTTTTTGTGAAAATTTAATTTTTCACATATTGGCATTTTCAAGGTGTGACTTAGAACCTCCACGGGCTTGAAGACCCATGCTAGTCACATTTTCTGAAAATCCACGATACGGATCTTTTATTATTAAAAACTGATGGTCATTATGCTGTTAAGCATTATGTAATATTGCATTAAAATAGAAGAAAACACAATTTTGGGTGCTGCTGCCATGATGACCATTATGGGAAAACCATGTTACTTATGATTGTCAAACTTTCAAAAAAGAAACAAAGGACTAAAATGCAGCCTGAGTTGGAAAAGCAGTCTAATTGGCTTCTTTTTCTGGAAGTTATACATTTTAGTGAAATATTCATTTTTATCATGTTGGCATATTCATTGTGGGACTCGAAGCTCCCATGGACATGAAGCCAAATGGTAATCAAATTTTCTACATGTCCATGCTATTTATAGTCAATAATCAAAAATTGGTGATAATTATTCTGTAATTTATTATGTAATGTTACATCAAAATTGACAAAAATCTTTTTGCACTGCTACTACAAACATTATGAAAAGAAAACTATGTTACTTATTATTATTTTCAACTTACAAGTATGATTTGTAGGATTGGCATGCAGTTCAAATAAGGAAGCCAGCTCAAATCGGTTATCATTTATTATTGAATTTAAGCAGTTTTATGCGAAATTTTCATTTTTCTCATTCTGGCATTTTCAAAGTGTGAACTTAAACTCCCATGGGCCTGAAGCCTTACACTTGTTACACATTTCACTTACATTGGTATTACCTGTTGAGCATAATTAAAATTTGATGTTGAATTTGCAGTTAAGCATAATGTACTTTTGCATCAGAATTGACAGTAGCCTGTTTTGTTATTTCCTGCTTTTTGTCTGTACATTTGACAGCTTTGCTGCCTTGTTATTTTTAATGTTCAATATGCATTGCAGTTGTCTGTGGCCATGGTTATCTTCTGACTAATTAAAATTAGCAACTAGAACACCACTTTAAAGAAATAAAGTAATTTTGTGAAGGTTCAGGTATATATTGATTTGACTAAGAATTTCCAACTTTTTCAGTAGATTGTATAGCATTATGTAACCACTGTATTTTTGAGACAGAGAAAAGGCCAGTAAATATTAAAATCCCCAACTATTTTTCTCCCTGGTTTTCTTCCAGGTGAGCGCCTCCTCTAATACAGACAGTGGAAAGGAGGATGATCATCACTCCACTGTGGTGGTATGCTCCAAGGACGATGACTATGTACTCAAACAGGTATGTGATCATACCACTCACGGTTTTGATATGCTGAGGAAATGTAAGATGTAATAATTTTTTTCCAAATTTTTTCATTGGTTTCACTCAGAATTTTCTTTAGGGTAAATAAATTCTACTATATTATTTGGGTTAAATAGTTTTACACTAGGGATAGCCTATATGTTTATTCTTGTATTCTTAAAAGGTTGTATTTTTTAAATCTAAAAACAGTTCTATTTCTATTCAGGATATGTGTTATAGCTGTGGTAGCTATGGTAAAGGAGACGAAGGCAAGCTGATAGTGTGTACACAGTGTGGACAGTGCTACCACTCTTACTGTGTGCAGATCAGGGTGAGTTTGACTATTTGTTTGTTTATATGATCATTTATTTGATTACCTGATATATGATATTTAAATGATTAGTTTATTTATTTGGGCATCTGTTTTTTTCCTAAAAGAAATGTTGTCTTCTTGAATAACTCTGGTATTCCTCACAATATTACAATACCCGTCTGAAATGTTGACTGTAGCTGAAATGCAGGCAGAAAATTAGATCCTTCGAAGAATATGGTGATTTTAAAACTTTGCCTTTTAATATTTTGCTGTGTTAATCCAGCCTACACAGGTGGTATTGAAGAAGGGCTGGCGCTGTCTAGACTGCACCGTGTGTGAGGGTTGTGGGAAGCCACATGACGAGGGACGTCTCCTTCTTTGTGATGATTGCGACATCAGCTATCATATCTACTGCTTAGACCCCCCTCTGGATCATGTGCCTAAGGGGAACTGGAAGTGTAAATGGTGAGTTACTGGACCCCAGAATTGTTGAAATTAGTATCCCCCTGTACATGTGCGCTTGTGTGCATGAGTTCAGTTATTTCTGTTGTTGATATAATTCTGTTGCCTTTGTAGAAGTAATGTTATTATCATCCAGCCTTAAATGCCATTGCCTAAGCATATAATAAAGCTCACTTTACTGTTGGATATTTGATGTCTATGGGATCCTGTAATGTGTGTGTGTGTGTGTGTGTGTGTGTGTGTGTGTGTGTGTGTGTGTGTGTGTGTGTGTGTGTGTGTGTGTGTGTGTGTGTGTGTGTGTGTTCATCTCTCTCTCTCTCTCTCATATATTTACTTTTCCTGTCCATTCCAGGTGTGTTATTTGTTACACCTGTGGCTCCACCACCCCAGGATATGGTGGTCAGTGGCAGAGTAACTACACCCAGTGTGGACCGTGTCATAGCCTGACCGCGTGTCCAGTGTGCAAGAAACATTACAAGGAGGAGGAACTCATTATACAGTGCTGTCACTGCGACAGGTAGTGTATTATGAATATGGTGCATGAGTCATCCAGTTGTACTTTATATACATATTAAAGTTATAAAATAAGATATGTGCATGTTGGACATGAAATGTCTATACCTAATGAAGTGCAGTCTTATCTGAAATTTAAAAAGCTCTATTACATATATCCCAAACAAAAGTGTTGATTGTTTCTCCCACCAGGTGGCTACACAGTATTTGCGATGGAATGAAGAATGAGGATGATACTGAAAGGGCAGCAGACGCAGGTTATCACTGTCTTATGTGCAGACCTAAAACTGGGGCACCGCCTCCTCCTCGTAAGTGGACACACTGTTAGAACTGTCACTAACTGTTAATAAACCAAAATTTCAATTAAAATAAAAATTTCAATCAAAAGCAAAAAAAAAAAAAAATCATAATCTACTGTTTAATACACTGAATGTAGCCTTCACCAGTCAGATTGCCACTGAAAATGTATGTGTCAGTAGAAATGCAGAACACTACTTTCACTTTATTTGATCTAATTGAAGTGCCATTTGAATTTATCTGGTTTTAGCATCTTCATCAATATTGTGTCTGTCCTGCTACCTGCACATCAGTTGATGTATTAGATACTCTGATATCCTTTATATATTTGATATCATGTTAAACTTGCCTTTTCTAATTCTCAGCCCCACCTCCGCCACCCAAAGTTGAGTCCCTCCCAGCCTCCCCTATCCACAAGGAGATGGACACCCCAAAGAGCCCCTCGGTCCAGTTTGTCGTGGATGGGATATGTCTGTCCGAGAGTGGCATGGAGCAGATTAAGGCGCTGACCGTACCTCCACCTCCAGCCAAAAAGAGACAGCGCAGACCTTCCAAGCTTCCTGGGGACTCGTTTAAACACCCCCATATGGCTGGTCTGCTCAGCCCAGGGGAGAAGTCTGAGCAAGGGGACTTCATTGAAGGAAAAGGTAACAACCAGGAAGAAAGAAGGAAATTGTATGGTTTCAACTAGTGTGGTTTCTTTTTTACTCTGTAGTATTTTGTAAGGAAATCCTGTTCAGATGTTTTTTTTTTTCTTACCCAAAATTATACTTTAGTGATGTTAACTGAGTTGACTGTTTGTGTGGTTGCATGCAAGATAGAAATGCAAGAAAGGCAATGACATTTAGAAGTTGGAAATAGAAGAAATGATGAATATAAGTTGACAGGATAAACTAGGCAATTAATGTGATATTTATGTTGCAAAGATGTAATGTAAGGTTGTTTTTTAAGTACTTTTATAATTTTTTTATGGCTGTTATAGTATATTTCAATATTTTTTCAGAGTATGATCATATTATGGATGAAGAAACAAAATCCATAGCAGAAGAAACTGCCGAGATTGCAGCAGTGAAATCCCCTGAAGTGCCTGGGATACCAGAAAAGAAAAAACGACAGAGGAAACCTTTCAAGCCCGGTGTAGGGGGCTTCATTGCCAAACCTAGGGCTAGAAGTCACATGATCAAGAAGACATTGTTGGCAAAGGCTGCTGGGATAGATCTACCTCAGCAGAGAGATACCTCACCCACAAAAATGGAAGGTGGAGGTAGAGGTTTATTATTATTATTATGCTGAAACACTTGAAAGTCTGATTAATGTAAATTGTGATATCACTACACCTTTATTAAGATTTAAATGTCATTCATATGCATTTAGTATTTGTCTCAAGGAATAAATCATTCTGTAAATATTTCAGAAAAAAAGCAGTTTAAACTAAAATTTTTGTTTTGTAATTATTTCAGATGGGGAAGGATTAGATGATAAAACAAAGAAAGCCAAAAGACAAAGAAGAATAAAAAAGAAAAGTAACTTGGAAGAAAATTTCCCAGCTTATATACAGGCAAGTAATTTTTGAAGAGGGAATAACTTGATTTTACAGAAGTTTTTATTTACATATTAAATGGAACCTTGTATTAGAAAACGGATATCATGTAATAAAATGTCCCAACAAAAAAGTAACAATTTTTGTTTTGTTAATCAGGAGGCCTTTTTTGGCAAGATCTTATTGGACAAGAGCAAAACTCCTGACGAAGGTAGTCAGTTGGGTGGGGAAGCCCCTGCGGTGGCTGAGACAGGCGAGCAGTCCCCGCAGAAGGCGACCAGTTTAGAGCGCAGTGATGGGTTCACTGTGAACATCTCACCTACACAGGCAGCATCAGCATCAACAGCTTCCAACACACAGAAACAGCAGCAGCAACAAGAACAAGGGGAAGACCTAGGTGAGAAAGAGAGATTTTACTGGCATAATTCAAGTATCTAAAAGAATTGCTGTTTTACCTTTTAAATATAAACCAATAGAGTATAGAAACAGAAAATATTTTTAGAGTTTTATGTGCATCTTCTCGTGTCAGACTGTAAGTAATATTTTTCACATTTACATTGATTCTATCAATGTTAGCTCGCCTTTCTTACCTTATTCATATATCTGTCAGACAGTTGAGGCTAAATAAAACAGTCTTTTCTGAGACCTGATTTCATGTTTGTGACCTTATCTCATGTTTATGACCTTTGACTCACAGATGACCTGAAGGACATCTTGGGTGGTGTTGACCTCAGCCACGATGTCCATGATGATGAGCTGATGGACATCTTGGACAGTGAGGACATCTCTAAGGACGAGGAATTGATGGGTGGACAGCACGGGGAACAGGATATGGACAAGATGGACGTGGATAAAGTGCTGTCTAGTAAGTTTCAGCCTTCAAAATAGCATCCATGAGCAGTTGCTCAAGAAATGTAAATTAAAGATAAATTCTCGAATTTAAAGATAGTATACAAACTCTCTCTATTTTTTGTGCAGTGTAACTTTTACAGTCTGTCGTTATAACACAAATTTTCAAAAAATTAAAAGGTAATATTTTCCTGAGTGACAGGTTTATCAAGAAGGTAAGTATTCCATAATTACAGTAAATTAACAGACAAAAGTTGCAATGTTTTTGTTTTTGATGCTTTCAGGTCTTGCTCAGATTGACAGTAAAACAGTGGAGGATTTATTCAAAGGAGTCCTGGAACACAATCCCCTGACTAGTCCGGGTGCTGAGGGGGATGGTAACTTTAACCTTCCTCCTCTCATGAGTCCCACATTGCAGCAGCCTCAACAGTCACAGGGTCAAGTTCAGATGGAAGGTCAAGGTCAGGCAAGGCCAAACCAAGGTCAGCGGCAGCCGGAGACTGGGTTGCATGTGCACAGTCCAATGCAAGGTAGGTCATAATATATTTTTCTCTTTTTAAGAGAATTTTTTTTAGCTAATTTCAAATATTGCACAAGGTCCCTGTTGCTATAAGATAAAATATTTATATAGAAATTTAACATGTGATGGAAAGCTAAGAGTATTGAAAAACTATAGCTGGAAACGTAAGTAATCACGTGATTTTGCTGGGTTGATAGCATTGTTTTGTTCAGTGTATTGTTAAGAAGTGTTAAATTGTTGTTACATTGCTTTAATGCAATCCACAACTATAGAGGGAATATTGCAGCACAATATTCCACAACCAAGCAAACGTGGATTTCATAGTCATCATTCCTCTTCGTCCCGTGTGGGACATAAGGATTTTGTATTCCTTTGACTATATTCCTTTTGCAACTCAGAATTTGATGATTTATGTCAGTATGTGTTATTCTCTGCAGGTCAGAGCATGATGCCAATGCCACCCCAGTCGGGTCACGATCAGCAGTTAAGGCTTCCAGGTCATGGACCCATGCATATGGGTCAAGGTGAAGGTCACAGTCCTGGTGGGATGTCACCAAGGTCAGGGCCACCACCATTTGGAATGCCACCACACTCTCCTTATGGAGCGGAAATGGGCAGGTCAGTAAACAGCAATCGCAGCCCTGCTGTCTTTAAGTATGTTAAAGCAATCTTGTAGTGTATTCCAGTGTTTTTTTAGTCAATGAGAATTAACTGAATGACCCAGCTTAATCAAATGCTTTGAATGTGTATGCTGCCTATGGTGTCAGTGCCTCGCCTTCATGACAGATGTTTACATTGTTTTAATTGTCCTTCAGTGGTCAGTTTAGCCCAGGCTTTGCAGGGGGTCCAGCCACCCCCCAGTGGCCCCACCTTCCAGGTGACGACTTCGAACCAGACAGCGCCTCGCAGAACAAGCGCAACTTGGCCAAATGGGAGCATGATGAGCCAATGGGAGACAAGGCGACTATTACACCGGTCCTGTACTGCAACATCATGCACCCTGAGCTGAAGACGCAGTACCCTGAGTGGTCTGAGAGGATTAAACAGATCACTAAACTGTGGAGAAAGGTCCCAACAGAGGAGAAGCAGCCATATTTGGTAAGTCGTTATTGTTGATGAATAATTGTCTGTGTGATATGAAGGCTGTGCCTTTCCATAGGTTTATTGAAATATGGTAATTATATCAATTACACTGTTTTACCTGAAAAAAGATGGGGGTCTAAACTTAAAATAATGTTATTAACAACTGACGCATGAAAATCCTTACAATATCTGGATTACAATTTATGCCAAATTGATTTTATATCCAACAGCAAAAAGCCCGAGAGAACAGAGCCAGCAGTCGACTCTCCAAAGCCCAGAAGGTAAAAAATGTCAGTATCACTTTTATTCACCTCTGCATGATTTTTAAGTTTTTGTTGATTCTTGGCACTTCAGTCACACGTGCTTGTATTTTGTTAGAGTGTTTAAGATTGTGTAACTTGTAGGCTTAACATCAGAATAATATTATATTAAGAATGCATTTGAGTTACTGTTGTTCAATCCACGCTTTTTGCTCTAGCTGAAATTAAACATTAAATTTGCACTGTTCCTTCTTGACTGTTTTAGTTTGTTTTGATTTGTGAACTAATCACTTTGATGATGCTAATAATCTTTGCCACATGTTTTTGCTAATTAAAAAAACACAATTTGGTATTTGTACTAGCCCACTTTTTAAAAATTCTCACACCTCTTCTCCTACTTCAGATACAGGACATCAGGAAGAAGCAGCAGGACCCCTCAGCTGCAGGAGGAATGCCACCCCCTGGTATGCCTCCCCCTCCCCCAGGGATGCCACCCACGGGCATGCTCCCTCCCCCACCCCCGCCCCACCCCCAGGCTCATGTGCCGGGGCCGAAGAGCCAGGAGCAGTTGGAGAGGGAGCAGAAGTTTCAGGAGCAGGAGAGGCAGTGGAAGCTGCTGCAGCAGATCCGGGCACAGGAGAGGAAGATGGAGTTGGAAGCCCTGAACTCGGACAGTCCACGTGGGTCCATGACTCCTGGGAGTACACAGGGTATGTTCTAGCACTATTTTAAGTATTGAAACTGGTGCTCATGACTCATAATTGTGAAAGAGTTTTTGACCACTACCCATACCCTTGGATCACTTTGATGTATGATATTGATGATGTTATTTTGTGGTCAGGAATGTCGTTTACTAAATTATGATACGCTTTCATGTGTAAGTTAGTGGTTAATCCTCTTTGAGACCAGAAAGTAATTAGATATTCGAAAGATGATTACTGTAAGACTGTATTGGATTTGGATTAGATAATGATAGATTGAAGATTGTGAAGCATTGTAGCATCAAATGTAGTCTGTACAGTCTGGGCAATGTGTTCATGAAATCTGTGGCTGATATTTTAGGTTCACCACACCCCAGCACTCCAGAGAGCCAAGGTGTGCCCCCATTTGGGCCCCAACAACAGCAACAACAGCCTCCACCCCAGCAGCAGCAGTGGGACCCCTATGCCATGCCCCCAGGGACACCCAGACCAGGTAGTCAGGATGGGGGTAACACCAACAAGCCAGACAACTTAAACAACCAGCCAGGGGCCTCTCCCCAGTACTCTCAGTCTCAAATGGGAATGCCCCCAGGAAGGCCTGGAGAACAGAGAATGCCCCCTGACCCATACAGCCAACCCCCAGGGACCCCACAACCTGGTGGGCCACATCCGGGCCAGGGGAGGCCACAAGAGGGGTATCCAGGCCCCCCGCCACAGCAAGCCCTCAAGGGCATGCCTGATCCGTATGCCCAGCCCCCTCACACACCAAGACCCCCAGGACCTGAGGACCCATATGCCAGACAGCCAATGACACCAAGACCACAACAACAGCAGCAGCAGCACCCTATGGCTCCTCACATGCAGGGCCCACCACATCCAGGCCATGGCCTGCCCCCAGGGCACCAGCAGGGCCCTAGACCAGGAGTACCTTACAGCCAGGCCCAGGGTATGCCTCCACACCCAGGGGATCCCTTCAATAGACCCCCTGGTGGGCCTAGACCCCCTCATGAAGTGTGGCATGGGCCCCACCCTGGGATGCCCCACCCCTACAGCCAGGCAGGGGCAGTACCACACCCAACCAGCCCCAGGGAGTTTCGGCTACCAGGGCCCGGCATGATACGCCCCAAGGAGGGAGGGTACGGACAGGGTGGCATGACGCCCACTCCGCGTCCCCCTACCAGTGGTCAGAACAGTCAGCTGCAGCAGATGCTGTCCACCGCGCCCAGGTTTGCTGACCCCAACCTCCAGGGACTGGACCCCAGCACGTCCACTGCAGTCGTAAGTCATCCTGAGAGTGGTACTGTTCTTAATCGCTAACGACTGCTCTTTATACTTGCTGCAGTTAATAACTTTTTCTCTCTGGTCATCGGAAAAGTGATGCTTCATAGGCATGGTGACATTATTTCATGTCTCTGCAAATTGTAGGATATCATGGCCTTTCTTGATTATTTGAAAGGATTCTTTAAAAATTCCATTTCATTATTTGTATCAAAATGCATTCATTACATTAAGAAAATTTACGGCAAGAATCTTAACAGGGGGGGTTAATACTCTCAAATTTACATTGCCGTATGAAGTGTCACTTTGCAGGTGACCTGCTGGGGTGTTTGTCCAGTTATGGTCAGGCTTTGTCCACTTCTGGTCAGACATAAACAGCAGCAGAGCCTTAATGTGTGCCCAGTCTGTAACCTAGAGGTGGTCAGTAACTTGTAGAATCGTGTGAACTACTGGTTTAGCAGTGGGAAGTAGTTGTGTAAGCAAGTGGTGTTTTATTTTATTTATAATTTTGATGTCAGACTTGGATTTTATCTGAAGTAGAGCATTGCCAGTTTCTTGGGAGGTTTATCTCCTTCAAATTGGGGGTATATATAAGATATATTGAAAATGAAATACTAAAGCATGTGTTGTACATCCATAATTTTTCAGTCAAAAACAAAAACAGACAAATCAAAATGATTTTAGCTAGCAGATCTAGTGGACTTATATCTTTGATATATTTAAGAATTCTTCGTTGCAAATCGGACATATGTATATGATACTTTGAAAATTACATTCTTAAAATATTAACCATACTTTGACCAAAAGGAACTCCACACAGTGTTGGTATATGTTATCTACCAGTTGAATCCAAGTTTGACTTTGCTTTGCTTTTGCAGTATTCGCTAACTGACTGGCGTGTCTGTTGGGGAAAATGCCGACAACGTGTCATGGTCAGCTAGTGTATGCTGAGTTGCTATGATCTAACTTTTTAAGTTTGCTTTCAGTCTGTAAGTTTTTAGGGTGTTACAGTGTTCTCCATTAACTGGTTATAGTGTGTTAAGAACATTTTTCTCTGGGGTTAGATGAGCAGATCCAGTGGGTGGACATGTTAGGGGGGTTTGCTAGCTAGACAGATTTAGTGGGCGGTTTTTTTTTAATATTATAAGTGGACATTCAAACTGTTTCAAAGGGTAGCAAAAGTCAAATAAGTCACAGATGAGACATTCTGCTAAACCTCAGTTTAATTGACTTTTTCATCACCCTTGGGGGGAATCAAGGAATTTGTCCTATTTGTGATTTTTATCAAAGTTCTGGTGACATACTCTTTTGTCTGTCAGAGGAAGAGGGTGAGAGACAAGTGTGCCATTGCTCTTTGTCCCACTCCTTTTTGCTGTGTGTTTAACTATTTCTTCCCACACTCAGAGAGAAGATCCCCATCAGTGCCAAGTAAAGTGGGTTGTAAAATGAAGGGATATTGTGTTCTGTAATACTAAATGTTACACTATATTTGATCTGGTTTGTAATTCCTTTATTAACAAACCATCATAGAGGAGGTTCAAAACAGCTGACTAACAGACCCACGGATCAAATATGGCGACCGGCTTAAAAGCTTGTTGCTTAATTTCCGATTAGATACTGAATAGATGCCCTGCGGGGATTATGCAACAAGCATTCAAGTGGGTAGGTTATATTTGATCCGCAGATCTGTTAGTCCACTGTTCTGATTGGGCTTATAAGTTATAGAAAGGTGTGTGGAATGAGAGGGTAATACAGGGGAAGAAGAAAAGAAAAGATTTCTGTGGGTGAAGTTAATGGAGAACATTGTGCCCCCTTGTGTGTTTTTCCATCTCTATGTGTGTGCTTTCTCTCTCTTCCATCCTTCTAGCTTCACCAAATGTTCTCCAGTCAGAGGTTATATTACCTCAGTCAAAGACATCAACAGCCACAGGGTAGAAATGCCACTGACTCTACCGTGTATAAAACAGGGGCAGGGGTAAGTTGTCTCTGTGGCAGTGCATTCAATAATGTTTCTTTTTTCAACACGGCGGCCCAGAACTGTGTGAAATAGATGCATCTTTTAGGAAAAATACAGCTGTTTTGTGACTTTTTTACTCTTTGAGCAACGGAAAGATAAGGACTCACAATAAATGGATTAAGTGTATGAATATTTATCACCAGTGTTAGTTCAGAAAACTCTCTTTCAGTAATGTGCATCAGTGGTCATTCCAAAATTGCATTTTTTATGAACTTTTTCTTGTCAGAATAGTCTCAGAAATTTATAAGTACACATTGCAGAAGGTATTAACTGCAGGTTCATTAAAAAAGAAGGGAGGGGGAGAGCTTAGCTTTTAAATGTGTGAGATTAGCATGGTGGGTACAGTAGAACTAAACTCTTCTAGTGGGGCTGGATAGATAACTTTGCCTTTATATGGCAAATGGTCCTTATATGGAAATATATACCATATATAGTCATTAGTCCATATATGGCAAGATGTGGCTTAATAATCATGCTTCAAGTTATATAAAGAGAAATAGATGATTAGAATTTTTTCCTGTTTATAGTACTAACATTATTAGATGGCAGCTTTAAATAATCAAATAGTGAAGTATATATGATTTATAAATTGCCAGGTTTAAAATGTGATATTAAAGGTTTTGAAATTTCAGATATACTTTATTTCCAAATAATGAAAATCTGTTGAAAAATAAGTATCATCATGTGTCAGAGCAAACAAATTAAAATGTCCTTTGAAATAAGGGAGGTTCACAAATTGAAAGAAATGCACTTGTTTGAATAGGGACTTCATCCTACAACTAAACAAATGTCACACATGTTGATTGTCCCTTTCTTTTTTATGGATTTATCGTTGTTCAGTAAAATGAAGTGAATTTAGATTATGTTTGCATGGTATCTAGTCTACATTGACTGTTCTCTCGCGTGACTTGTAGGTAATAGTTTGCATGTGTTTTGGTTAACAGATGAAACCACACTTCATATAATAAACCTGACCAAAAAAGCAAAAGTGAGTGTAAAAAGTCATTCAAAACATTTTTTTATTGTAACACTTGGTTAAGATATTCATCATCTGTGTGATCACCTGTATAAAGCTCCATTATTATTATTGTTATTATTATTATTATTATTATTACTGTATTATAATAGCCAGGAGATGGAGATCCCAAGTCAGATGCACACCGCCAGCACCTGCGTGAGCTCCTTGCCACCAAGGCCAAGGAGAGCCAGAAACAGAAGCAGATGGAGCAGCAGTTCAGAGATGGTGGAGGAGCCAATGTACCTTTACACCATTGGCCCAGTGAAGAGGAATTAGGACCACAGCAACCACAAGGTAGTCTACTTGGTAGTCAGTTCTCAAGTTGACAGGATTACAACTGATGGATTTAACAAAGTGCCATAGGTGTACTGCATCTCTAAACTCATATAAAAGTTTATCAGTACTGTGAAATTAAAGGTTTAATTATTCAGTTTGATAATTCAGCTTTTAAGTAGTCTTTTTAAATTCTTCCAGGTTCACAAGGTCAAATGTCAGTATCCCAAGGTCAGATGCCAGTATCCCAAGGTCAGATGCCAGGCCCCCAAGGTCAGATGCCAGGCCCTCAAGGTCAGATATCAGGTCCTCAAGGACAGATGCCTGGTCCTCAAGGACAGATGCCTGGTCCTCAAGGACAGATGCCTGGTCCTCAAGGACAGATGCCTGGTCCTCAAGGTCAAATACCTGGTCCTCAAGGTCAAATGCCAGGTCCTCAAGGCCAGATGCAAAGGCCTCAAGGTCAAATGCCAATACCTCAGGGTCAGATGCCAGGTCAGATATCCGGCATGCCTAGGCCCCCACCCCCAGGGTATCCAGGTGCTCAGTTTGGCCCACGTGGACCCCAGGGAGAGGGGGGCTGGCAGGAACAAATGATGAGACCACCACACCCTGGACAAATAAGACCAGGTGAGTAGCCTCTACAGTTGATTATATATTTCAAGTTATATATCCCAGCTTGTAGAAAATTACATTTCTTTTTGTCTATTCATCTACTAAGAAAAATGGAATATTATAAACAAGCCAGCCTTATAGGCTCAGTTTTTTGCCATGGTAATTATTTAGGTTATAGCTTATTGTATATAAGAATGATGTGACTAGAAATTTGCACCTTCCATCTTGCAAGAAATCTAGATGATGGCACTTTTTCAAATGGGATTAATCAATTTATTTTGTACAATTCAAGGTAGATAGCTAATTGATGTAAAGAAGTAAGGCATTAAATAAGATAACTTTTATATTACTTTTATTTGTATTGATTTTGTTATTAATACTATTATTTCATTTATGTAATTTTGATGTGGATTTGTGTGTTCCAGATATGGAAGGTTTTGGCCCCAGGGGTCCCCAGGGGGAGGTGATGAGAGGTCCAGGTCCTGAGATGATGAGACCAGGGTACCCAGGTCAGTGGAGGATGACACCCCCTGGAATGCAGGGACCCATGCCACCCCATGGTGGACCCTATCCACAGGGACAGTATCCCCCAGGGTTTAACCCCAGACACCCGGGACAGCCCCCATGGGAGTTCCATCCTCAACATGTAAGTTGTGTTGGTACAGTGTTGTAGGAGAGTATTTTTTAACTCTCGTGGTATTATAGATTTTTCCTCCATAAAATTGAATTTTGTAGACACTGAAGGGAGTTCACTGTAAAGCTGTGCTTTGCATTGTGTTTTCTAAAGACAGTTTTGATTTCGCTAAAAAAAATAATTAGCATAATGTACATCTATATTTTTCTATCATTTCTCATATAATAGTCACCCTAAATGAATGAAATTTGTTATCTAGATGACGCCAGCTGAACAACACAGGACACCATATTTGAAGATGTTTCAGGAGAGACTGAGGCAAACACAGTTACAAGCTGCCCAACAGCAACAACAATTACAGCAGCAGCAACAACAACAACAGCAACAACAACAACAACAGCAACAGCAGCAACAACAAGGAACTCCTGGGACACCCCCTCACACCTCGGGGAATCCTCTAGACCCCTATGACCACCTGGTGCGGCAGAAGATGCAGGGAACACCCCCTGCAGTAGGTGAAGCAAGGGTACCACCACACCCGCCTTCTAGACCCTCAAGTCAGCAGGCTTCACCCAGGGGGACACCCTACTCTACACCTCCTACAACTCCTCACCCGGGTCAGTCTACACCATCTGCCAATCACGGACAGCAAGGTCAAAGTCTGCAAAGTCAAGGACAGTCAGGTCAAGGTCAGGCAAGTCAAGGTCAGGCTTTACAAGATCAAGATCAGATGACGCAAGGCCAGAGTCAGCAAGGGCAGAAAAAAGATGGATTAGATGAGTTACTGCGTAAGTATGAAATCAGTTAATGAAATTTTTGTTGAAAAGATTTGAAAGACATCAAACAGGAAGTTAACAATCACACTAGAATATAACATTATAATGTTTCAGTTCACAGTCTATTGTAATGCATGGAAAATTTAATAATTTTTTTTAACTTTTTCAGCTTCAGATAACCTGAATCTATCAGATTACTCTGACCCTGAGATCCAGAGGGCGCTTTCAGAGGCCCAAGACAAGACCATCTTTGATGAACACCTAGGTCTCAGAGAAGATGCAGAGAAATCTGCTGCAGAAGAAACCTCTGGAAGAGTGGGTGCGTTCCAGGCACAGTTCCTGGAGTTCAGTAAAAAGAACAGTAATAAGGAGAGTGAGGGAAATGTGGAAGATTCTGTAGGGCAAGAAATGCCAGGAGATAAAGCATCACCAGTTGCTGATGTGGGGAGCCAGGAGCAGATTGCAGGAGGCGAGCCTAGTTCTGCTGATGCAGATAAGCCACCTGAGACTGAACCTTCTGAGGCTTCTGAAAGCACACAGTGCCCAGACGGACATAACTGTCCTGGAGATGAAAATGTCCCTGCCACTAATTCTGGTGCTGGACAATGCCCAGATGGACATAACTGTCCTGGAGATGAAAATGACCCCACCACTAATTCCGGGGCTGGACAGTGCCCAGATGGACATAACTGTCCTGGAGATGAAAATGACCCCACCACTAATTCCGGGGCTGGACAGTGCCCAGATGGACATAACTGTCCTGGAGATGAAAATGACCCCACCACTAATTCCGGGGCTGGACAGTGCCCAGATGGACATAACTGTCCTGGAGATGAAAATGACCCCACCACTAATTCCGGGGCTGGACAGTGCCCAGATGGACATAACTGTCCTGGAGATGAAAATGACCCCACCACTAATTCCGGGGCTGGACAGTGCCCAGATGGACATAACTGTCCTGGAGATGAAAATGACCCCACCACTAATTCCGGGGCTGGACAGTGCCCAGATGGACATAACTGTCCTGGAGATGAAAATGACCCCACCACTAATTCCGGGGCTGGACAGTGCCCAGATGGACATAACTGTCCTGGAGATGAAAATGACCCCACCACTAATTCCGGGGCTGGACAGTGCCCAGATGGACATAACTGTCCTGGAGATGAAAATGACCCCACCACTAATTCCGGGGCTGGACAGTGCCCAGATGGACATAACTGTCCTGGAGATGAAAATGACCCCACCACTAATTCCGGGGCTGGACAGTGCCCAGATGGACATAACTGTCCTGGAGATGAAAATGACCCCACCACTAATTCCGGGGCTGGACAGTGCCCAGATGGACATAACTGTCCTGGAGATGAAAATGACCCCACCACTAATTCCGGGGCTGGACAGTGCCCAGATGGACATAACTGTCCTGGAGATGAAAATGACCCCACCACTAATTCCGGGGCTGGACAGTGCCCAGATGGACATAACTGTCCTGGAGATGAAAATGACCCCACCACTAATTCCGGGGCTGGACAGTGCCCAGATGGACATAACTGTCCTGGAGATGAAAATGACCCCACCACTAATTCCGGGGCTGGACAGTGCCCAGATGGACATAACTGTCCTGGAGATGAAAATGACCCCACCACTAATTCCGGGGCTGGACAGTGCCCAGATGGACATAACTGTCCTGGAGATGAAAATGACCCCACCACTAATTCTGGGGCTGGACAGTGCCCAGATGGACATAACTGTCCTGGAGATGAAAATGACCCCACCACAAATTCTGGGGCTGGACAGTGCCCAGATGGACATAACTGTCCTGGAGATGAAAATGACCCCACCAAAAATGTTGGGGCTGGACAGTGCCCAGATGGACATAACTGTCCAGGGGATGAAAATGACCCCACCACTAATTCTGGGGCTGGACAGTGCCCAGATGGACATAACTGTCCTGGAGATGAAAATGACCCCACCACTAATTCTGGGGCTGGACAGTGCCCAGATGGACATAACTGTCCTGGAGATGAAAATGACCCCACCACAAATTCTGGGGCTGGACAGTGCCCAGATGGACATAACTGTCCTGGAGATGAAAATGACCCCACCACTAATTCTGGGGCTGGACAGTGCCCAGATGGACATAACTGTCCTGGAGATGAAAATGACCCCACCACAAATTCTGGGGCTGGACAGTGCCCAGATGGACATAACTGTCCTGGAGATGAAAATGACCCCACCACAAATTCTGGGGCTGGACAGTGCCCAGATGGACATAACTGTCCTGGAGATGAAAATGACCCCACCACAAATTCTGGGGCTGGACAGTGCCCAGATGGACATAACTGTCCTGGAGATGAAAATGACCCCACCACAAATTCTGGGGCTGGACAGTGCCCAGATGGACATAACTGTCCTGGAGATGAAAATGACCCCACCACAAATTCTGGGGCTGGACAGTGCCCAGATGGACATAACTGTCCTGGAGATGAAAATGACCCCACCACAAATTCTGGGGCTGGACAGTGCCCAGATGGACATAACTGTCCTGGAGATGAAAATGACCCCACCACAAATTCTGGGGCTGGACAGTGCCCAGATGGACATAACTGTCCTGGAGATGAAAATGACCCCACCACAAATTCTGGGGCTGGACAGTGCCCAGATGGACATAACTGTCCTGGAGATGAAAATGACCCCACCACAAATTCTGGGGCTGGACAGTGCCCAGATGGACATAACTGTCCTGGAGATGAAAATGACCCCACCACAAATTCTGGGGCTGGACAGTGCCCAGATGGACATAACTGTCCTGGAGATGAAAATGACCCCACCACAAATTCTGGGGCTGGACAGTGCCCAGATGGACATAACTGTCCTGGAGATGAAAATGACCCCACCACAAATTCTGGGGCTGGACAGTGCCCAGATGGACATAACTGTCCTGGAGATGAAAATGACCCCACCACAAATTCTGGGTCTGGACAGTGCCCAGATGGACATAACTGTCCTGGAGATGAAAATGACCCCACCACAAATTCTGGGGCTGGACAGTGCCCAGATGGACATAACTGTCCTGGAGATGAAAATGACCCCACCACAAATTCTGGGGCTGGACAGTGCCCAGATGGACATAACTGTCCTGGAGATGAAAATGACCCCACCACTAGTTCTGGTGCTGGAACATGTCCAGATGGACATAACTGTCCTGGAGATGAAAATGAGCCCACCACTAATTCTGGTTCTGGACAGTGCCCAGACGGACATAACTGCCCTGGAGATGAAAATGACCCCACCACAAATGTTGGGGCTGGACAGTGCCCAGATGGACATAACTGTCCTGGTGATGAAAATGACCCTACCACAAATTCTGGTTCTGGACAGTGCCCAGATGGACATAACTGTCCTGGAGATGAAAATGACCCCACCACAAATGCCGGGTCTGGACAGTGCCCAGACGGACATAATTGTCCAGGGGATGAAAATGAACCCACCACAAATTCGGAGGCTGGACAGTGCCCAGATGGACATAACTGTCCTGGAGATGAAAACGACCCTGTTACTTCTGCTAGTAGTCAATCCAATACCACTTTAACTTCCACAGTGCCAACTAGTGACCAGCATGTGAGTCCAGGCCCACATGAAGCTGCCCCTTCCTCCACCACAACCTCAGCTACAGCTGTAGATGCCCAGTCAGCCACTGGTGTCTCTGATACTGCAATACCTGTGGCTGGTGGTGCAGAACCAATGCCAGGTAGCAATGTACCAATACCAGCAGTTCCAGTATCCATGCCACAAGCCACAGTTTCCATGCCATGTGTTCCAGAGGTCTCACAGATTGGCCATTCACCTATGTCAGCTTCCTCACAAGGTGCCCAATTAACAACACCTTCTGGTGCACCGGTTAATACAGAGGCACAACATGCCATCCAAGCTACCATTGCCAGCACTGTGTCTGCACCTGCAAGTATGGAAACAACAAGTTCTCCTGCTGTACAGACAACTGCATCTACTACAGAGCATGTCGCTCAGCCTGTGGTGACTAATATGCCACCATCTATACAACCTGTGGTGCCCTCTATGGGCCAGGTAGAACACCCGGGGGGAAGTGAGGTGAAGGTTGAGCCACAAGGGCCTACAGCAGTCGGTGAACAGGTAGTGCCAGGGCAAGCTAGTGAGGAACCGGGACAGATAGAACAGAAAGTAGCTTCAGGAACTGAGATACAAAAATATATAAAGACGGAAGCAGACTTGACTGTACCTCAGACATGCCAGGAAGAGACTAAACCACCACCAGCCCTAGCTGTTGCCACAACACCTCATTCAGCTGTGCCAAATACCACACATCCTCCGATGCCATCTGCTGTTGCAATCTCTGGATCTGCTGGCACCAAGCCTACAACCAATGACATGATGTCATCTCTAGCTGGCATGATGCCCACCACACCTGGCATGATGCCAGCCTCAAATACTTCAATGTCCATGGCTACTGGCATGATGCCCTCTTCAGGTGCAGGGCCTACTTCAGTTGGTATGCCAACCAGTGCAGCACAGGGTATGCATATGGTAACAGCTCACCAACAGTATGGCATGCCACATTCTAGCATGCCACACACCAGTATGCCACATACCACAGCGAGAGCATCTACGCCACAGTCTGCTGCAAGCCAGCCTCCAACTGTCCAATCCATGCCAGGTATGCCACCACTGTCCATGATGCAGGGGATGCCAAGACCTGGCATGCCAGTGGCAACATCTGGCATGGGAGCCACTCCTCATCCTGGCATGGGCCCTGGCATGCACTTCCCTCCTGGGATGAGACCCAGAATGATGCCCCCAGGTATGCATCATCAGCCAGGACCCCCCTTTCCGCCCCACCCAGGACAGTCCAGGATGCCAGGGTCAGGCATGGTGCCTCCAACTTCTGGCATGGTACCTCCAACATCTGGCATGGTGCCTCCAGGCCAGCAGCCACAGTTCAGTCCACAGATGCCAGGTGGCATGGGAGCACCAAGGAAAGACAAGCCAGTGCTGCTTGAAGAGCAACCGTTATTACTACAAGAATTGCTTGAACAGGTGGGTTGATTTATAGTCAATGTCTGTCACTTGTGTATAATTTGTTGTAGTAGGTTGGTGAGCTTTTGTGTATGTGGTTGCATTAAACTTTTATAATAGAGGCCACAAAGCCGATTTATCAGTAGCATTTAGTTTTGTGTCATGCTGCTTTGCTGATAATAGATTAAAGATAACCAGCCATCTTCCTCTTATTGTACAATGAAAGTGTTAAATGTGTTGTATCTATCTTGCACTTTGTTGCTATGATAGAGCTACTTTTGAGTATATTCACACACGTCCTCCATCTTGCTCTTTCTTGACAGGAGAGACGGGACCAGCAGAAGCAGGCGGAGCAGCAGGTGTTGATACAGAAGAGGGACAGCGGATTGATGTCCGACGCAGAGTTTGAGAAACGCAGGGCTGAGTTGGCCATCACTGAGAGCAGGCGGCCCCCCATGCCAGGACCTAGAATGCCAGGCATGGGCATGGAAGGGATGCCAAGGTATGATGGGTAATTTCTGGCATGGGATTGTGGTGTAACCACTGCATCATATTCTTTGAAGATTAAAGCTGAGAAATATTTAAGGAACTGTTGTGGTTCATTATAAGTCAATGTCATAAAATTATTGATCATTAGTACATACTGCTGTGTTACTGACTGTTAAAGAAGACTGAAAAACAGTCTGGCCTTCAAAGTAAAATGGTGAAGTAAGAAGGGCAACACAGTAGGCCTGCAGCAAGTTCCATTGCTGGCAGTATCTGCAGCAGAACCTGTTTATCAAATATAAATAAGATGAGCCACAAGACAAGCTGCAGGAAGAACACTGCCAAGTTTTTATTTGAAACATTCATCATTATTGCATATATCATGGTTACTGTAGTTAGTAATCAGAATTGTATTCTTAACAGTCTTATTTCCACAGCGCAGATTGAACCCAGATATAAAAGAGGTGATCTTTGAATTCATCCTTTTATTGTATTCTTGCAGACCTGGTGATCAGTGGCAGGGGCCTATGGGTGGCCCCAGGGAGGGGATGTTTCCACCTCCATACCCAGGCCGCTCCCAGGGACCCCATATGATGCCCAGAACCCCCTCACCTTTTGGTAGCTCACCAGCAGAGGGAGGCATGGGACCCCGCCCACCTCCTCCTCAAGGTATGTGTACAGTTTTATACATACACTTATTCATAACTAAGTCTGAATAAATTCCATAGTTCATATTTCTATATTTTGTCAGAAATGCAAGGAAAAGGGGGGGGGGGGATTTAAAAGTTTTGAACTATGAGTTGGTTTCTGGTCAAAATGTGTTCTAGTAAGTAATGAAAATGGTTGATCTTGATTTTGATTAATATTGGCATGATGGGTACAAATTTGTGAGTATAATATTCCTTCATTATTAGAAATATCTGGACAAAAAGTTAGTAAAGATTTTTATGTGAAGATGTTTCTTGCATGGAACTTTTGTTCTAATAAAGCTGATGTATCTATATTTATAAAAGAAAAGATTCACTATTTTCCTGAAACTTCTATAAGTCCTCTCAAAAGATGTGGCCCAGCAAAGAATGAAAAAATGATTTGAGAAGCAAATGTTCATTTAGGTCATATTCAATTTTTTTCCAGGCACAGATCCTCTCAGTGAGGCGGAGAGAAGAGAACAATACAAGTACGAGGAGTGGTTGATGCAGCATGCTCATCTGCTCAGTATGCAAGTCAAGTATCTGGAACAGCAGATAGCTAAACAGAGGAAGACAAAGAAATCTATACAAAACAAGCAGAAACAGGTATGCAAATAGTGCCTGATAGATGCCATGTTTGATTTGGCTGCCATTTTGGAAAGTTTATTTGATAGCAGGATGTTGAAACAGAAATGTCTTATTTGTGCATTGATCCCTGAAAATTTTTGGTAAAAAATGGTTGTAGTTTATTTAAGTTAGTGAAAATCATTATGAGACTTAGCGTGAAAGTATTTCCATATGGAAATCTATAATCATAAGTACACCAGGTCCCATTTTCACAAAAAAAAACTGAAATCAGGTTCCCTGGCTAAGAACTTAATTACCAAGGTTACATGGTCACACAGGTAAGTCTTATCCTATCAGGAGCAGTGTAACAGCACTCTCATGGAAATCTTAGTCAACTAATTCAGGTAACTGACTTTTTTTTTGTGTGTGTGAATCTGGGGCAAGTATAACCTTGTTTAAGGTCATTAACCTGAATGGTTTCTCAAGATTTCTAGTACGTCACTAGTAAAATGACTAAAATTGTCCAATAAAAATAATCTTTGAATTACTGCAATGTTACACAGAGGGGAACTGATTCAGTATAGCAGACAGGCATTTATCCTAACAGATAATTTTAAATCTTGGGTTTTCACCACTTTTCGGTGTGGCCTGACTCTGCCTCTGGTAATGGTGGTAGGTGTGAATAATTTAGCCTGAAAAGAAGTAATGCCATATTCTGCTTGTGCATAATTCATTTTGTCAGCTGAATGCAGGCAGCTGGATTTGATAATTGTTTTGCAAAAACTCTATAGGAAAAATCGAATTAAATGTATAATGTTAGATATACTTGACTTTAAACGAGCAGAAAAGGAATGAATGAGTCCATTTGACTTGAACAATCTGTGAAGAAGTATTAAAAGTTATTTTGTCAGAATAATATCAGTTAAATATTTGGAGGTCAAAAAGTATTTGTATATGATGTCAGAGAAATTTGATTTTTTTAGTGATTTGTCTAGACAAGCAGTCTCAGTTGTTTATTTTTTTTTCCCAATAATACTGTTGGGCATGTTAAACTTTATTTTATTAGAATCAAGTGTTATTTCTTATCACACTTTTAGGTCGTGTCTTAATGAAATATTCCACAGCAAAGCTAAGGCTGTGATCTGTAAAACGTAACATTTAACCAATATGCACTAAGTACCCAGAGATAGCTGTGACTAAATTGCAGACATACCAGCATATGAACAAGTAACCTTGATGCTACAACATTAATCTGTCATCTGACAGTAGTAGGGAGTCCTTTTTGTGTCACAGCTGGTTTGCTTCTTTTACTTATTTATAATCGCTGCCTGTAAAAATTTGATAGAGATTTTACTGAGTGGGTAAGTTTACACAAGGATGTGTTTATTACTGGTGTGAATATTTGTTTGTGCATATCTGTGTATATGTGTATGTACATGCATATGTGTGCATATTTGTACTTGTATGGTTGTGGATGTGCATAATCAGTCCAACCCTGGATATTATACCAAGAATCTTTCTGAAATCTGTTCTTTTAATTCTAGGCCCGTAAAGCTGGGGCAGAGCTGAAGCCAGAAGAACAGCAGGACCTGGACAAGGCCAACCAGGAGATCACCCTTGTCCAGAAACAGCTTGACCAGGTCAGAAAACAGCAGAGACAACACCAGACACTCATACAGGAGTACAGGCAGAAGCAGCAGGTGAGCGCAAGGGTGTATGTGCAAAGTGTGGATTAATATTGCAGTTATGACTTGCACTTTTGAGCAGGCAAATGTACTGGATGAGGTTTCTGTTTCATGTGAAACATTTCAGTATAATTTTTCTTAAGATAGAAATTATCAGAGTATTGCCATTACATAACAAGTATTGAATTCTGTTACATGTACAAATTAAAGGATTTTGTTATTACAGAAATTATTTCTGTCACTGAATGATAATTCGCATTTGTTTCTAGGAACGGTATGGTGTGAACTGGCCAGCACCCACCCCTCCCACTAAGCCAGGTCAGAATCCCATGGGGGCACAGCAACCTCCCATGATGCAACAGCCCAATCCCATGATGCAGCTGGGCCCAGGTCACATGATGCAGGGTCAAGGTCACCCTAGACCCATGGTTCCCGGGTCACCCCAGATGCAGCAACCACCTACCACCATGATGCCGCAGCCGCCATCTTCCATGATGCCACAGTCCACCACTGGCATGATGCCACAATCAGGAGCTGGCATGA